CTGACTTGCTGAAGATGGAACAACCCCGGACAGGTGTGTTTGCACCAAGGTTTTGCTGAACTTGCAAACACAAAATGAGGAAAGGCTGCCCGTGAACAAGAGAGACGTTCTATTCCAAGCTGGCGAGGTCCTGTTTGGGAAGCGCGGTGACCCTAGGGTGCAGCCCATGCGCCCACCAGAGCACCCCTCTATCCTGCACCCCTGCCCCCCGGCCCGGACAAGGCATTTGGGGGCTGGGAGTTGCTTGTTTTTTTTTTTTTTAGAGAGGACTAGTCTTGTTTATTTCGAAAGAAAATGCCTTATGAATTTTTATTGACTTATAAATACATATAGGAAACCACTGTAACAATTCGTTTTTCTCCTACCCTTTATTTGAAAGGAAGTGTCATATTGCTAATAGTGTTTTTTGCCTAACACAGATGTACCCAGGCTGGCAAAGGATGATTGTGTGTCGTTTCCTTCTCGTCAAAGGGTAAATGTAACCCCCGAGAGTGATTTAGGTTAAAAACGAGAGCGTGTGTCGGGTTGAGGAGCCCCTAGGACGAGCAGCAGACGCTGAGCTCGGTGCTGGGAACACAAGTCTGGTCCCCACGTGGCTCAGTGTCAGACCCGGAGGCGCGCCCACAACAGGTAGCTCAGCTACCAGCCTGGGAAAGTGCAACAGGAGAGGCAGGGGCCGAGGGCTGGGGCGAGGGGCGGTTGGCTCCACTGGGTGTGTGAGTGCGGGGGCGGGGGGGGGGGGGAGAGTGGGTGGAGTCAGGCAAAGACAGTGGGGGCCGGAGGAAGCTAATATTCACCGACTCCTCCCTGCGCCCGCAGCCCCGAGGCCCAGCGCTGAGGTTCCCAAGAGCAGAACGTGCAGCAGGGGTGTGGGGTGGTGGCGGGGTCTGCGCTTGCCAGGCCTTAATCTCGTCCTTGCCTTCTTCCTGTAGCCTCACAAGGGGGACCCCCCTCCCCCCCCGGAGCCCACTCTGCAGGCTGTCCGGGTCACTCACGCCCCAGCGGTCCCACTGACATCTCCTCCACCCCTTGGCCCAGCTCCCCTCTGTCAGGCTCAACCAGTGTCTGTCACTGTCCTGAGCCCGGTTTTTTGTCCCAGAGGGAGCCCCCTTCTTTCTGCCGTGTTCTCCGGGGCAGGTGGCCTCTTACCCCCCCTGTCACCTGCCCGCCTGCTACTGTCCCCAGGGCCTCGGAGACCCGGCCCCGGACGCCCCTCTTTCTGCCCCCCAACTCCGGGAGCCGCAGGCCTTCCAATCACAGACATGTGTCTTTTACATTTGTTTTTTCACGTCTACTTTAAAAAATTTACATCAAAAAAGGGACTGATTTTAAAAAGTCAGTAACTGAGTAAATGGGAAGACAGGTGGACATGGAGTGAGCAATGGAGACGGATACTTGGGCAGTCCCGAGTCGTCCCCCTTCCCCCTCACGACAGCCCCTCGAGGTTCAGGGAAGGACCGTCATTACCCCCCGCTGGGAAAAGGGGCCCATCCCGGCTTTGTGGTGGATTCCACGACGTCATGTGATGTAGTTTAAGGACCTGGCTTTGTTAGGAAAGGGCGAACCAGCAAGGCTGGGTTTGCCCCCTGAACCCCATCACCCCCACTGAACTGGGGGCAGCCACGCGCCCATCACACGAAGTGAGGACGGCCCCTGGGAGCTGGCTTGTTGCCTAGGCAACCAGAATGAGATTCCCGGGGCACCTCTGGCAACCGCGCTCATCGAACCGTGGTCCCCGGTTTACAGATGCAGAAAGAGGCCCGAGAAATTGAACAATTTGTCCAAGTCACACACACCAGTCCCAGCGCCGACACTCAGAACCGGTCTGCTACTTTTACTTCAGGGGAAGGAGAAGGTTTCGTGAATCGACAAGAGGGGAAGAAAGACCTCCGGTCTCCTGATTCTGGGCCTCGCTTGGCTGCTCCGTGAGGAGCTGGCTTTGCCCCTTCCCCTGAACCACGCTGGCCGCTGCCCGCCCCCCGGCCCCCCCGGCCCCTTCGCTGCGTTGGAAGCTGTCGGACGCCCGCCCCTGCCGACGGTGACCACAGGGCAGGAGCCTGGCGGTGCCTGCGGCCCGTGCCAGGGAACAGGCACCCAGATTAAAGGCCACCTTGACATTTACGTATTAAAATGCTTTATAATCACTGGCAACGGTTCGTGGTAGGGCTATCTACAGACATTTCCGAGATCTCGAGCCTAAACATCAAGATAAAAATAAAAGCTGTTTCTTTAATTCTGACTCTACCATTTTAAAGAAATGCCTTCATATTCCATTCAGCTCTGTCTTCCCTGTCTCCTCTTTTTGGCTGCTTCTGAAAAATCAGCATAGCCATGCATATGCAGGATCTAGAAGGCTGAGGTCTCCTACAGCTAATAAAAACCTCGGGGAGTCACCGAACTTGCTTGGTGCGGGGACTCGGGGTACAGGCTGCCTGAAATCAAAGGGAAAGAGTGCGGAGAAGCGGCAACACCAGGAAGAGTGGCTGGAGAATAAAAACCAGATCATTAAATAATGAATAACTAGGAGGAAATTTTTTTTAAAAAAGGCCTCTTAGAATTACATCCTTACAAAAATAGTCCGGCGTCACCTCCGAGGAGGGACACCAGACACCGTCGGCACGCCCTGCACGCCCAAGGACCGCAGACTCGGAGACAGAAGGGACGCGATCTCTCCTGACCTCCGGCACCTGTTGGTCAGACGGGGGTCTGGCGGGAGCCCCGGGTTTCGGTCCCGTGTTGACATGCGTGTGTTTTCAGGACAGGGCACTCCCGCCATCTCCTCCCCCCCTTTCCTATCTGCCCCCCGAGTGTCAAAGGGCAGCTGTGACAATGGAGGACCACGAAAGGTCCGCCGCAGGCTGTACCGAGGACTCTTCGCACTGCCTCGGCCGGTCGTTTGGATCTAGCAAAAGGTCACTGTGTTCGTTTTTGGGGGTGGGTGGGAAGTGACATCATGTTGACGTGTCTGGGTCTGCTGTCAGCGGCACACAGAACCTGCATTTTGGGCCGGACCCTCTGGTTCGTTTTCTGCCCGGACCTGGCGCCCTCAGCTCCGGGGCCCTGGGCAGGCCCTTTCCTGTCCCTGGACTCAGTTGCTTTCCAGGGACTTTGCAACGGCTGTTTCTACACACAAATACAATCCCCGGGACAAAGAGAAGTTAAAAAACACAACCGCCCCTGATGGACCTGAGGTAATGATTTTGGGTGTCTCGTCTACCCATCTTATGGGCCACTGGTTTTTTTTTAATTTTAAAAAATGTAGTAGAAATTAAATATGCTATCCAATTTTATATTCTGGTTTTCCTTTTGGCACTGTTTGGCCTTCCTAAGCAAAGCTATATGAGATTTTTAAGCATCCTTTTGTAGAGCTGCCTAATATTCCACACAGGTGCTTTCGTTCTTTCTGGTTTTTACAGTCTGCCTGGACAGGGAGCTCCCGACAGCGTTGGGACTGTTTAAATCTCTCAGTAAAGACAAAGAGGGAATGCCACGAGGGGCCAGTAGCCACTCTGTGTCTCTGAGGAGTCACAGCCAGGTTCAGTGATGCCTTTTCGATGGACTGGCTGTGGCTGGTGTTCATGCGCAGAGAGGGGCGGCCGATCCCTTTCTGTGGACTATCTCGGACCCAGGACCAGTGGCCGTGCTGTCTTTGCTGGTGTCTGAGTGGAGGGAGGCACCCTGGATGCAGAGTCCCGCTCTCCCAACTGCCTGTCTCCGCACCCCGGGGCTCTCCAAGCCTCTTTTCCCCGTGGCGACAGTGTGGAGATCATTATAATTCCTCAACTCGGAGAAATACATTTTAACCAGTTTAATATTGGGTTGAGCGCTGCAATGAATGTGTACATCTTAATTTTCTCTCCCTCGACACTCCCCAGAGCTATTACAATCAGTGGTTTCCTTGAACTGAAGAAATATAATAATACTCTCCTTTCGGCTGGTTGAAAGGATTACCTGAAATATTACACCTAAAGTGTTCTTAGCACTTGCTAAGGGAAAAAATATATGTCAGCTATTATTAGTAAAAATATCACGTGGTTCTTAGAATAGAGAACATTTATTCTGCGTAGAATATAATGAGAAATGACTTGTAGGTCACGTAGTTAGTGGGAAGTTGTGCTGTTAGGGAAATCCCTTAACGCTGTCGTTAATTAGCGAGGGCACAGGGTTGGCAAATAGGTCTCCCCTCACGGGCCCAGTCTGTTGCGTTGACGAGGGTCGTCAGACGTGCTGAGCGGTGAGAACGGCCGAGGTGGAGTCTGGGAGCGGCCGGAGAGGGCCGAGGCTGATTAGCGGTACCCTCCCCAGGCACCAGGGGTCTGCCGCCTCTGCATTATGGGGTCACAAGGCATCACCTGGCAGTCCATGAGGCACTAGCTAGGCCTTGGTTTATCGCTGAGGAGTTTAACCACACCTTGTGGCAATGGGTGGCACCTAGCTCCGAGGTGAGAGGTGAGACCACACAGGTAAGAAGTGAGCCCAGAAGAGACCGATGTTCTGGGAACCAGGGGGAGCTGCTGGAGACCTGCAAGTCTCTGCATCTTTCTGAGGACACACTCCTTTCCTAATTAATGGCTTTGGGGATGTCAGCCACAAATGCTAAGCTACTTTTGTTAAAACTCCCACCCCAGTTGAAATGTGGGAGGCTTGGCACCAGAGGGGATGGCCGAGTCTTTGCAATGACCTTGATTTTGCCTAGTTCTTGTTCCGCTAATGCTCACCTAGGTCTTGCCTCCTGAGCCTTGAATGCCCTGCACTTCCACCTTTGGGGAACTTTGCTGCAACACAGACACGCCCTTCGTCTCTGTTTCAGCTGCATCCTGTTCTTGTTCTCTCTTGCTGTGGGGAAAAGGCTCTAACCCCAAGGCCCCTCTGTCAAGAAGGGAGACTGTTCATTTTATCCCATGGTCCTTGGTATCGAATCCTCAGCTTTTGCGGTACTTGGGACATAAAGTCAATCACTCAGGGCGCATCGGTGAAGGCTTAAGTGGAAGGCTACATACCGTTTTTTGAAAGATTCTGGTAGTCTCTGTGATTGCAGCGGTTTCTTTTCCATAGATGAAAGTACAGAGAGTTTTCTTTAATTCTGAAACAAATACATATGTATGTGTTTACTTAATGTTGGGACATTCACATGGTGAAGTTCAAACAAACATGTTTTTATCATGACTTTTATAAATGTGGTGAAGATGAACTCAGGCGATCAAATCTCTGCAGACGCATTTGCTCTGCACTGTCACTGCATGGGTTGCTACGAGAAACAGTCCTGTGACATGGTTGCACGGATGTGGTACGGCGAGATCAGCCATTCCCTCCCTCCCTCCCTCCCTCCCTTCCTCTCTTCCTCTCTCCCTCACTCCCTCACTCCCTTCCTTCCTTCCTTCCTTCCTTCCTATCCTCAACTGAGCACCGGCTTACTTATTTTAGAGAGAGGAGAAGGAAGGGAGAGAAAGAGAAACATTGATGAGAGAGAGAAACATCAATCTTTTTCCTCTTGCATGTGCCCTGACTGGGGCCTGAACCCACAACCCAGGCGTGTGCCCTGACTGGGAATCGAACTAGTGACCTTTTGGTTTGCTGAATGCCTCTCCAACCAACTGAGCCACACTGGCCAGGGACAAACATTTTCTTTTTAATGCAGACCTCTAGGGTCACCCCTTTATAATCTTTTAAACAAAAGCTGCTCTAAGTCTCTTGAACAATGGGTTATCTTTCCCACTTTTGTATTTTGAAAATGACCATGTTCCCTTTCTTCTCTCAGTTGCTGTGAAGCTATGAAGACACTCTTGTCCTTCAGATCCATGTTTCCCCTTTGTCCATTTTAACAGAAGTTTTAGTGGGAAATTTGTCTACCCAGAATAATGATTGCTTTCCCAGCTTCCCTTGCAGCTAGGAGTGGCCTCTTCACTGAGTTCCAGGCAATGTGGTGGAAGTGGAATTATTCAGTAGCAGTTTCTGGGGATGTTTCTCAAGACACAATTGGCAGATTTCTTTGCTCTTTCTCTGTCCTGTTTATCCATTCTGCTGCCCAGAATAGAAATGCTGCTATTTTAGACTGTGGGGATGAGATCTACACTGGAAAGGCAGGGGGTGGGGTGGACAGACTCTAGATCCCCAAGGGCCAGTGAACTTCAGCTTCCACACCATACCTGGATTTCACATCTCTGAACTCGTGCTTTTGAAGGAAATAAACGCATGTGTTACATTATTTAAGCCACCCATATGTTGAGTCTCTCTGTTCCTTGTAGCCCAATCTAATAGTAAGGGACACAGGCTTTAGAGACAAATCTGTGACCAGTCTCAGGCTATAGTTACATGTATTTTAAGTCATTTTCTTGGCTCCTCTTTGTTCTATCTTTGATTTTTCTATCTTCGTTTGCCGAGCTTTAATTTAACTTAAATGCAATTTAATGTTATGTTCTCTATAATTTTATAGGCTTTCTAAAATCCTTTCTGAAACAAGACTAGGTATAAACTAGTCTTGTAGTGAATAATAATTAAACTCAAAAGTATTTGATCACTCCTTAAACGTGTTGTGTCTTTTTCGTTATAATAAGTTCATCTCTCATAACCTTACATAAATCACCACTGACTTTTCAGTGTTATGAGGGTCTCACTCCTATTACAGGGTTTTCCAGCTGTCTCTGTGCCTCAGGAAGGTAAGCACATATCAGGGTTGGATGTTTGGGACACAGTGGACGTTTATTCTTTTTGAAGTCAGAGAAAACTTATGACAATGTTTCCTAATAGAAGAGTAAGAGGTCTGAGCAACATTGTAAGTGTGGGATTTTGTGTAAGTGCCGTAGAGTTTTGAGGTGAATAATTCATTTTATTTTGTAAAAATCAAAGCTACTCATGCATATAGTTCTAAAAAAATTAACTTCATTTTACTTGAGTGATGTTTATGGAGTCTGACTATGTTCCAGGCACGTTCTACCCACCTGGGTCATATTGGCAAATAAACCCCTTCCAAAGACCTCTGCCCTTGTGTTCTTGACGTCCTAGCAAGGGAAAAAGGGTGTGGTGGAAGTGACACTATGCCAGCTGTGGCCTGGCTTTCTAAGGTACCTGTCAACTTTGGTCCCTTACAGCCCTGATACCCCATGTGAGAAACTGACTACCCTACTGAGACATCACGTGAAAAGGCCACACAATGGAAGCAAACAAGGTGTCCTTTTATGGGTGGATGGATAAACAAAGTGCGGTACATCCGTCTGATGGACTATTATTCGGAATAAAAGGAAATGAGCTATCAAACAGTGAAAAGACATGGAGAAACCTTAGATGCCTGTTGGTAAGTGAGAAAAGCCAATCTACATACTCTGTGATTCCAACTCTGTGACATTACGGAAAAGGCAAAGCCGTGGAGACAGGAAAAGATCGGAGATTTCCAGGGGCTTGGGGAGAGGGAGAAGGAGGAGTCAACAGGGGGAGCCCGACGGGGTGTGTAGGGCAGTGTCACTCCCCTGCACCACGCTGGAGCGGTGGGTCTGTGTCATTATGTGTTCGTCAAAACCCGTAGAATGTTCAACACAAAGAGCGACCCCAGTGTAAACTGTGGACACTAGCTAAGAACAACGTGCCAATATTGACTCTTCATTTATAACAAAGGGCCCACCCTGATGCACCATGTTCATCACAGAGGACATCGAGGAGGAGAGTGGGGGCGGGGGGGGGCAGCGCAAGAGAACTCTCAGTACTTTCTGCTCACTTTTTCTGTAAGCCTCAAACTGCTCGAAAGTTAAAGCTATTTTACAAAAGTCCCCACTTGGAAAGGGAGCGGGACCCCGCTAAGCCAAGCCCAGCCCTTGGGTTGCCCCTTCCCAGGCACCAGCAATGTGAGGGCAGCCGTCTGGGACCCCCCAGGCCAGCCACCAGGAGAGTGCCACTGAGTGACCGTGGCCAGTGTCACGTGGATAGGATGAACTGGCCGGCCAAGCGCTGGCTGAGTTCCCGACCCCCCAAATTGGGAGATGCAATAAAAATGGTGGTTGTTATGCGCCACTGAAGTTGGAAGGACTTGGTTATATGATTCTAGATAACCAGAACAGAGGGTTATAGAATTCTAGATAGAGATCATTTTCCCTCAGAAGTTGGAAGGAATCCGTCCCTGGGGTCCTGGCCTCCCCGTGTTGCTGTCTGAACCGATCTGTGCTTCGGTCCTTTGAGAGTCTGTAGCAGCATCCTGTTCCGGGCGTTATGAAATGTCACCAGGACAGGCTTGGTGTGGCTCTATTTTCATTCATAGTGCTGGACATTGGATGGACGCTTGTAGCCTAAAATTCATGTCACTAAGTTCTGAGAGATGTTCTTCAATGACTGTTGCCCTTTTCTCTCTTCCTTTTTCCTTAGAACTCCTTCTGTTTGGATATTGAGTCAGCTAGACTGGTCTCTACTTTTCCTGGTGTTTCTGTCCTATTTTCCACACTTTTGTCTTTTCCTCTGTTTTCCGGCTAATATTCTCCACTTTGTCTTTCAACCCTTCTGTGAAAATCATCTGGTGCCTCTAGTATACTTTCCAAGTAGTCTTTTTTGTTCTTTGAATATGTCTTTAATTTCAGCATCATGTTCCTTGCTACATCAATGAAATATGTTTTTGAAGCTATCAGTGTTGGTTGTTTTTATAAGTAGGATATTAACTAGAGCTTTAAAAAAAATCTCCCCTTAGTAAACAAAAGCTTTAGTCTATTTCCTTAAAGTTGTTTTTTCTCTTTGTTTTTATTTTGTCTTTAACATTCAAGGCTCCCCTCAGATATCTACGATCTTGGGCTGTTTGCTGGCTTTACATTGAAAAGTGGAACCTGATTGAAAACGCAAAAGTTGATGGGAAAGGGAGCCCCCGTGTGTGACTTGCTACTCCGGTCCTCACTATTGGCTGGCTGGGCCTTTCTCGGGGAACTCCGCTGTCTGGGTCTTTGTGGGGGGGGGGTCTCCTCTTGGGAGGCACAGGTTCCCCAGGCAAAGGTCTTCCTGCCTCCAGCTGGGTTACCCGCACTCTGGGCTGCGGGTGGGTGGTCCTCAAGGTCGGCACAAATGTGTGTTAGCAGGGTGCTCCCCGCGCGTATGGCTGGTGTCTCCCAGCCCAGCGGCCCGTCCTTTCAGCAAGAAGCCTCTGCCTCATCCCAGAGCCGTGGTGCTGCCCCCTGGAGGACAGTCGGGAAGAGTTCTGAGGATCTCACTGCCCCTTCGGCCGCTGCTCACCGAGTCCTCCTGTGTTGAGCCTCCCCCCCTTTTCTGGGGCTGCCACATGTAGGCAGCTCCCAAGGCTTTGGGGGGTCCTGCTGTGTAAACACGGGGGGCCTCTCGGCCTTCCCTCCCACCAGCTTGGGACACACCGCTCCTGAGTCCACGGAGTCAGGTACCATGGGTCCGGGTCCGTCCGCTTTCTGGCTTGCAACATTTTAGCCCTTCCTGCTCTCTCGGTCCTTGTGGGCAAGCTCATTTGCTGTCATCTTAGTGGGGTTTCTCAAGGGGGAGAAGTAACTGCCTTCTCAACCTGCTGTCTTACCCAGAAGCCTGAGCTGAACACTCTGTATCCCGCACTGTGGATGCCCACTGCCTTGACTATTTTATTCTGGTTTAAAAAAAAAAAAGATGGGAAATGGATATTAGACCTGAATTCAACACTAAAATAATTTCACGGTTGGTAGTGAGGGGTTATTTTCCTTTGGGAAAGTAATGGTTCCCAACATTTAGCCATACGTTATTTTTGATACTTCCAAAAACAGAATTTATGTACTGAAATATTGTGTTGCTCATGGCCTGCTTGTGACGAGTAGCTAGTGTGGCTCTTAATATTATGGATACAGAGAGTCACGCCTTTTGTTATAAGAATAGAGATATCTTTATCGTAGACGAATAGTTTCATGAACATTTCTGGCCAGAAAGAGACCTGTACTTTTGGGATTAACTTTTTCTACAGGCACTAGATAGTATTTCACGTCATCAAAGACACACTTTTCTTTCATCCCCATCTTGAATCTCTCCTATAAATCCTAGTGATTGAATTTGTCCGGGCGTACTCAGAAATCCTGAGAAGACAGGGAGATCAATACGATGTTTTGAGAAGCCGGTAAGACAATACTC